TCAATAATACCCAGTCGGGTATTTTGAATCCACGACGGGGGTTTGGCAAACACAGCATTTTGTGTGCGAGGGAATCCCCGGCCTCGAACCAAAAATACCCGGTCGGGATCCTGGAACGCTACGTGTCAAGGCTGGGAAATCCCAGGCCTCGAGCCAAAAATACCCGGTCGAGTATTTTTGGGTCGAGGTCAGGGATTTGCCCTTTGGGCGCCCCGGAAGGCAGAAGGGTCCCGGTCACGAGCCAAAAATATCTGGTTGGGTATTTTACCCTTCCGGCCAAAATGCTCATTCTTCCAAATTTTCAACCTCCCCTGCACGAAAACACCAAACCGAGACATAACCACGACCGAACTTCAACACAGACATGCAACTGACTCAACACGACACAAAAACACAGAAAAAAGGGAAAAAGAAATGCAAACCGGGGTGGGGTTGCCTCCCCAAAAGCGCTTCTTTACCATCTTTTAGCTGGACGCCCATGGCGGAACTAAGGGTCCGCGAGTTCCACTACCAACTCCGCACGTTCGACCTCGTCCCCCAAGTAGAGCTTGAGACGATGGCCATTGACTGTAAACGACTCAGTTTGTGGGTTGGCAATCTCAATCGTGCCATACGGGAACACCTGCGTGACCGTGAACGGTCCAGACCACCGGGAACTGAGTTTTTCGGGAAAGAGCTTCAGGCGAGAGTTATAAAGGAGAACTCAATCACCAACCTAGAACTCTTTCGGACCCCGCAACCGTGCATCGTGCAAGCGCTAGTGCACTCCTTGTACAGCTTGGTGTTCTCATAGGCGTGGTAACCCCACTCCTCCAGCTCTAGCATCTGCATTTTGCACTCAACACCTGCAACACTAACATCCAAGTTGAGTAGCTTAAGGGCTCAAAAGGCCTTGTGCTCTAGCTCCACGGGCAAATGGCATGCCTTTCCATAGACAAGCCGGTACGGTTAAGTACCAATGGGTGTCTTGCAGGTAGTGCGATATGCCCAGAGAGCATCATCGAGCTTGGTGGACCAATCCTTGCGGGACTGATCCATCATCTTTTCTAGGACACGCTTGAGCTCCCGGTTCGTCAGCTCGGCCTGGCCACTGGTTTGAGGGTGATAGGCCTTGTGAGTCACACCATAGCGATACAGTTACTTATCAAATTGGCCCTGGAAATGGGTGCCTCGATCGCTTATGATGGCTCTAGGTGTCCCGAACCGGGAGAATAGCTGATTCAGAAAACCACAAACACGTCTAGCATCATTAGTGGGCAAAGCTTGCGCCTCAGCCCACCTAGAGACGTAGTCAACTGCAACCAGGATATAGGTATTGCCAAAAGATGGAGGGAAGGGGCCCATGAAGTCGATACCCCAGACATTAAAAATTTCACAAGTTATAAACACATTCTGGGGCATCTCATCACGGGCAGAGACGTTACCTGACCTCTGGCATCGGTCGCACCTGCATGCGAAGGCGTCTGCGTCCTTGAAGAGCGTGGGCCAGTAAAAGCCCGATTGGAGCACCTTCCGCGCCGTGCGGTTTCCTCCGTGGTGACCGCCAGTAGGTCCTTCATGACAGTGAGATAGAATGCCCTCCATCTCACTCTCCATAACACAGCGACGGATGATCCCGTCGGCTCTGATCCGGAAGAGATGAGGGTCATCCCAGAAGTAATGCTTCAGGTCGGAGAATAACTTCCTCTTGGTGTGAGTTGTCATCCCCTTGGGCAGCTACTGGCCCACCAGATAGTTCACAAAATCAGAGTACCAAGGGGTATCACTCTCCACCAGGTACATCATCATCAGTCTCTCATCTGGAAAGGAGTCATTGATCTCCTCCTCGAGGTTGTCCGCAGGGGGTGCGTCCAACCAGGAGAGGTGATCAGCTGCAACATTCTCCGCTCCCTTCTTGTCCTGAATCTCGATGTCGAACTCCTGCAATAATAAGATCCATCGTATGAGCCTAGGCTTGGCATCGATCTTGCTCATCAGGTATCGAATCGCGGAGTGATCTGTATACACGGTCACATGGGACAAGACCAGATAAAGACAAAATTTGTCGAAGGCAAACACCACCGCGAGCAACTCCTTCTCCGTGGTAGTGTACTTCTCATGGGCATCATTGAGGGTCTTCGAGGCGTAGTAGATAGGTCGGAAGTGTTGATCTCGCCTTTGCCCCAAGACAGCTCCAACAGCAAAGTCACTGGCGTCGGACATCAGCTCAAACGGTAGGGACCAGTCAGGAACAACCATGATAGGAGCTTGGGTGAGCTTCTCCTTCAAGGTCGTGAACGTCGCCGTGCATGCATCAGTGAACTGGAAGGGGGCATCCTTCTCAAGAAGCTTAGTCAGGGTAGGGGTGGGCGTTCGGTCGGTTCGATTTGAACCAAACCGAACTAGCATGCACCGAGGTTCTGAAGCCAGATATCCCCCAACCGATTTCGAACCAAAATATAATTCGGTTCGTTTCACCCGAACCAAATTATATCTCGGTTCGGTCCGGTTTCAAGGCCCAAACCCGAAAATATAAAACAACACAATTTATTTCTATTCCCCACTAAAAGCCGGCCCCAAATTAATCTTCCCCTCTCCCTCATCTCTCATCTATCTAATATGCTCCTCAATCAATCTCTCTCTCCTCTCTCCTCTATCTCCCCCAGATCTATCATTCCCTCAATCAAACTCTCTCGTCCCTCCTCTATCTTCCAAATCTATCCTTCACTCAATCTCTCTCTCTCTCTCAACTCCCCTGCGACCCCAGACCCGAACTCGGCGGCAATGACTATTGACCGAGAGAACAAGACGGCGGTAGTGCCAACGGCGATGGCGATTGATGAAGTGAACAACGCGGGCGCGGCGGCGACGACGAAGATCCTTGCACCTCCCCAATCAACATTCTCTTCATCTCGACTGATGCATGTGGGTTTTTATGTTTGATTTTCTTGGTATAAGTTGCAGGGACTAGTTGAGGAGAAGAGAACTGAGAGAGGGGAGATTGGTCGGCGAGGAGGTGAGTGGGTGATGATGAGGGATGGCTGCTGTGGAGGTTGTATATTTGTTGTGGGTGAGTGGGCTTAGGGCTAGGGCTGTGAGAGATTGGGTTGGGCAGAGTGGTGGGGTGTTAGTGTGTGGGCTATGAGAGATTGGGCTGGGTGGGGACTGGCCGACTGGGCTTTTCGGTTTTTCGGTTCGGATTTCGGAATTCGGGTTCGGTGATGACAACCCTGGGTTCCGAAATACCCATTATTCTTATCCGAATTCCGAACAGAATAACAATAATTTGGTTTCGGTTTGGTTGAATTCGGCTTCGGGTCGGTTCGGGTTTACCGAACCGCATGCCCACCCCTAGTCAGGGGCAGGGTGATTTCGAGAAATCCTTGATGAACCTCCTGTAGAACCCTGCATGGCCCAAAAAGCTCCGGATCCCTTAATAGATGTAGGAGGAGGCAGCTTGCTGATAGTCTCAATCTTTGCTCTGTCCACCTCAATCCCCATCTTGGATATCTTATGCCCAGAACTATGCCTTCGCGAACCATGAAGTGACACTTCTCCCAACTCAGTGCCAGGTTCGTTCTTCACACCGTTTAAGGACGAGTTCCAGGTTATGGAGACAGTGAGAGAATGAGTCTCCATAAACCGAAAAATCATGCATAAACACCTCCATAATCTCGCCGACCAGACGGTTTAAAGATGGCGAGCATGCATCGCTGAAAAGTGGCTGGGGCATTGCATAGCCCGAATGAGATCCTCCGGTAGGCAAATGTGCCGAAGGGGCAGGTGAAAGTGGTCTTCGCCTGGTCCTCCGGTTCAATGGGGATCTGGAAGTACCCGAACATCTCATCCAAGAAACAGTAGAAACTCGTGCCCCGCCAGTCTCTCCTGCATCTGATCAATAAACGGCAGTGGGAAGTGGTCCTTCCGAGTGCGTCGTTGAGATGCCGATAATCAATGCAAACACGGTACCCAGTCACCGTGCGCATCGGGATGAGCTCATTCCTCTCTTTCGGCACCAGCGTCATCCCACCCTTTTCGGGTACCACCTGGGTGGGACTGACCCACTCGCTTTCAGAAATGGCAAAGATGATCCCCACGTCCATCAGCTTCACGATCTCCGCCCAAACCACGGCCTCCAGGTTTTGTGTAAGTATTCTCTGCGGCTGTCTCACTGGCCACATCTCATCCTCCAGCATATCCGGTGGGAGCAAAAGGAGGGGGCTGATCCCCCGGATATATGTGATCTTCCACGCTAGAGCTCGCTCGTACTACTTCAGCAAGGCCACCAGTCTGTCCTTCTGCTCGGGTGTGAGGGTCGAGCTGATGATGACTGGCAGCTTATTCCCCTCCCGGAGAAATGCATCTCCAAATGATGAGGGAGGGACTTTAGCTCCAGCTCCGGTGGTTCCTCCAAAGAGGTAGTGATGCGGGGTGAGGATGAGATCGGTTTGAACAGCCTGTCGCCCTCCAGGAATGGGCCACTCTCCAGCCGGCCAACTGCTCCGTCAGCTGCGGCTACTGCGATGCCTGCTCACCTAGCAAAACAAACGCTCAAGAGCATCGTCAGTACCCGCACTCGTTATAGCAAGTGCGGTCTCAAAATCAGTAAGCACATCACAGTAACTATGTCATCATGCAAATGAGAGTGCTTCCCATTCTTGGACACAGAAAAAGTAGCATGTTCATCACCAACACGCAGGATCAATTTACCACTATGCACATCAGTAAGCGCTCGGCGGTGGCGAGAAACGGTCTACCCACATCAAAGGCACATCCACTCCTCATTTATATCCAGAATAACAAAGTCAACAGGATATGTGAATGCACTTACATTAACAAGCAGATCTCAATGATATTCCTAGGATGCACGATGGAACGATCAAGCTAACTGAATGCTCATCCTAGTAGCTCTAGGTTCACCTAGGTCTAGCTTCTTAAACAATTTGTAGGGCATGACATTTATGCTAGCGCCTAGGTCCGCCAAGGACTTTCCTACTTGCATGCTGCCAATAACAAGAGGGATAGTGAAACTCCCTGGGTTCTTTGCGCTTAGCATGGCAAATTGTCATGAATAAATCAATAGTTGCAGGAAAATCATTACCCTCATTAGGAGGTGGAGGTGGCAGAGCAAAGATCTTTGGTGTAGGTGGTGGTGGTGGTGACTTCATCTTCTTCAAGAAAGAGCCGGAAGGGGAAGTGGCAGGAGAATAAACATGCACTTGCAAACATAAAACGTTCTAGTCAGGCAATTTTAACAGATCTTAAAACTCCAAGACAATCCAAGAACAAAAATCAAGCCTTCTCATACTGTTAAAGTGGTCAGCTGCTGGGTTCATTGGGGCTAATGCAGGTGGTACAGAGTCTGTGCTCATTGATGAGGGTGATGATAATGGAGAGATGTGACCTGTATTCAGAAGAATCTGTTCATCAGGATCAATAAAATTTCCTGTACTGAAAAGCAAAAAGCATTTATGAAAGTTAAAGCCTTCTCTTACTATGAGAGTAAGGAGGAATGGAGACAGATGGTTTGGGACTGATAAATTGGTCCCCTTTATCATTGTTTCTGTGCATTCTGACTGAGGAAGGAGAATGTACCAATGAAGGAGGAATAGCTATACTCGGAGGCCGGATTGAAGTGTGTGAGTGAGCAACTACACAAAGAAAGAGATCCTTCAGTTTCTAGAGTTCAAAGGCTTAGAAATCCAAAGAGCACCAGACAATTATTTACCTTTCCCACTGGGTGTTCTGTACATGGAAAATGCAGTGTGGGATACTTTAGATGGAGGAGGAACAGAACCCTGGTTTCCATGTTTAGGATCAGAAGCTGTAAGAACAAAACAGGCATTTCAATTAATTATGTAGGAATCATCAATCCAATCAAAAAGATCAAAGTTTCGTCCTCTTGCTACTTCTGAAATGCAATCTGCTTGTCAAATTTTTTACACAGCCGAAAATGTAGACTGAATCACAGCTTCCCAGCAAAGAAAACAATGTCCAGAATAGACAAGAGAGCTTCAAACACGGGCATTCATTGCAATGTTACTCGCAAAGCCTAAGCTTCAGGAACAAGATGCAATCATCATCAGTCTGAAAATTATTTCATGGCAATTTTTACCTGATTGAATCGAATGATGTCGGCCCGGTGGGACTGCATTCCCTTGGCGAGGCAACCTACCAGATGATCCTGCAACTCTTGCTGCACATATACAGCAGATATAAATGCATGAGGACTGGGTTTCTGTTAAGTAAATGATAGACTTGCTAAAGTTTCCATCTTGGTGCAGGATCACGTCAGAATTTTATCCTAACTCAGAAGCCAGAACCATGTATGAGTTCAGAGCACCATATTCATGGATTACAGGCCCCACAACACTGAAAATACTAGTTATGTGGGACAAAGGAATGACAAGCAAAACTTCCATTAACATCTCCATTGCAGCAAGTGAAGCTTTGGGATAATCAAGAAATGACCCAAAAGAAGAAAACTGTATCAGGCATTGTATCATACACTTGGAATACAATTCAGATTGCTCTGAAACCCCAAAATTGAGCAGAATTCAGCACAACTCAATCGGATCAAACCAGAATTCCGGCAAATCCCAACTCAGAAATGTACCTGCAGATCCGAGAACTGAGAACCCATGAACCGACAATGTCCAAATCACCACCACCACCACCAGGTCCACCACAAGCAACACCCTCATTTTCTCACTTCTTTATCACCCAGAAAAAATTGGACAGAGGACCTCAAAATTGAGCCTCTTCTCAAGTCTCACTCGAGAAAGGAACCCAGAAACCGTGGAAAGAAAACATCTTTCAGTGGAAGTATCAGGTAAAAGAAAACACGACTACATGGGATAACATGATATGACTTGAAGAAACAACAACAGCAACAACAAAAACAAAATGGTGTCCTATATATTATTGCCAGACTGCAAAACAAGGAAGAGACCCACAAACAGTACAAAAGAAGTAATGACAGAAACCAAACAAACACACAGACACTCTCTTAGCAAAAAAGGAACAAGCAAACAAACTAAGAAACAAAATGGTAGGAAGGGTAGAGAAGGTGTTAGGTGACAAGAGAATTTTCTGATATACAAGAAGGGAATGAAAGAGAGAGTGATCTCAAGCTTAAAAGCAAACCAGGGTTCAGTTAAAGCAAAAGCTATAGAGTGAGTGAGTGAGTGAGTGAACAATCCTTCTGAGCAAGAAAGGTAGGGGAGATATGTGTGCAATTATTATAATGCTGATATGAACAAGAGCTTGGGAAGTGATTTGATTTGTGGTGGTTTATGTTGACTTCTTTTTGTGCGAGCTGATGAGCTAATAGTGTGAAAAATGATGCTGTCCTCCTAAATCATTGTGGATATGGAATCTCCAAAATCTTTGTTGTTGTGTTTTCTCCCCATTAATTGTCCTTTTAACTTTTTGGTTAGCATTGATTTCCCTGACTCTCTTTTTGTTATCAGAAGTCCTCCCTACTTGTCATAATCATTGTCCAACGTGACTGTGTAGTATTAGTATCTAACTCTAGTCCCTAGCCAAATATTGATATATCCACCACGTGGTTACTCTCTTAAAAGGTACATTGTAATTATCAAGGTTGTCAACCCGCGGGTTGACCCACGGGTCGACCCAATTTGACCCTGACCCGGTGAGAAAAACGGGCCGCACGCACCTGCCGGGCCGACCGCTATAAGGTACCGGGTTGAAGGTCAAATTGCGTCATTTTTTTTCTTTAGTTTGCGAAATGCGCATATTTTCCAATTTTTCTTTTCGCCTAACTCAATCTTTGGAATACTAAGTTGAACATTTGAATATTTATGTTATATAAGTGTGTGTGAATTTTCACTATATGTTGGATCTAAGTACGATATGTTATTTTGGTGTAATATTATATGTTATAACTCATATGTTAGATAAGATTTGATATAATTTATGAGGATAAGTGCAATATAATACCTCTTTCTATATTTCCGGGCCAAACCGGGCTAAAACGGTTGACCCATTAACCCTTGACCCACTAGCTCTACAGGGTCCGGGTCAACCCACGGGTTGACAACCTTGAATTATGTTAAACGTTGAAATTTAATTATCTTGTGTTTGTGTTGATAAATTTCTTTTACTCATCCATTCATTACTACTATTAGGTCAATATTTTGATTAATTTTTTTCATCCTTTCTTTATTTTGGTGCAGAAGGACTGCAACATTCTTTTATTCATCATATTGCCGGAAAATTTCAACAAATTACGCGTTTGTCATTTTGTTATTATTAAACCAACTTATTGACATTATAGTGGACAAGAACTTAGGTAGGTAAACGGGTTGGGCGAATTTCTATTCATTACAATATTTAACATACTTCGGATTTTACTCAAATTTGTATAAGAATCGGGTTGAATATTAAAACCATATCCCATCAAATTTTGGATGTCAATTGTTGTTCATGAGTAATATTTTTTTGTAATTTGAATCAATATGTTAACAATTATATGTATACTGACATTACATAACAATTATATGCATACTGACATTACATAAGTGAAAAGTACATCAATAAATTACTAGAACGAAGAAAATTATTTAAAAAAACACTACATGTAATACATGGATTCGAGTTTTTCCCATATCCATTAAAAAAAATTCGAAATCGTATTTTACCCTACCCAATTAAGTCAGATTTGGGCGGAAATCCACGGTTATGGTTATTGTTTACATCCATACAAGAACTATCATAATTTCGTTTATCTTTTGACATTATATATATGGGTCATGCTATCAAAAAATTATATATGAGGGGTCTTACTATTGTACTCCTACTAAAGTATATTATACTTCTACTAGGATAGTAAATTGGCATTTATAGGCCACGAGTTAACCAAAGATTATACTTCTACTAGGATAGTAAATTGGCATTTATAGGCCATGAGTTAACCAAAGTTTGGATTATATTTTATACCCCAACTTCTAATAGGTAAACCGTACCTACATTCTCAAAATCCAACCCAAAGATGAAGTATACTATACTTCTGGAGTATACCGGTCTTTACTATATATAAGTAATTAATCTCTTTCCTAAACAAAGGAGCAAAGTGAAATGGATCTACTTAAGACGTTATTTTATGTGTGCAATGCACTAATAAGATCAAAGGATAACCCTAAACCCAAAAGCACACCAAAAAATCAAAGGATAAGCAAAAAAGAAAAAGGGGGAAAAGCAGAAAAAGGAAGAGAGCATCCCCTTCCATGGGGCTGCAACAAAAGACCACCTAAATAATGAGGGGATCCCAAAGCAAAGCCTCTTCTGTGAATTCATCCTTCAACTACATAAAATAGGGGTACAATTATTGTTAGAGAAATACACCACTCTTTCGTTATGATTTCCTACCAAAGGTGAAAAGCACGATTCTATTACTAAGTGTTTTGGTAACTTTGAAATGTAAACGCGCAATTTTTTATATAAATTTTAAAGCGCAATTTTAACTGTATTTGTTGGAGGCAGTAGTAGCGACTTGCGATGATAAGTTGCTTTGGCTACAAAGAGGATTTGTGGAGGGATATGTTGTAAACCAGTAGCGTGAGTGGTTTAGAAGGGATCTTCTCCTTCTTCTCTTCTTTCTGTGGTTTTTTTTTTTTTCTTTTTCTCCTTCTTGACTTGGTATAGTGTGCATTCCATCCAAAAGGACAACAAAGCACAACGTTAGGTCGGGCAATTGTTTTCTTCTGAAAATATTGAATGCCATTTCAACGGTTCCTTTTCTTTCCCACCTTCTGAAAACAATATTTTTCTAAGAAATTAATTTCTAATGTACATGTACGTATAGATATACTCCTTTAATTTGTTTTATCTTGCCAGTTTCCAACGGGACGTGTATCTGATATTGCAAACAATGCTCGCCGCTAGCATGAGAGAGCATGGGCAAGGTTTCTTCTCCGAGCACCGTTAGTAAAAGTGTCGGTGAATTGAATTCGTCAACCCACGCCCCCACCCTTCCAACCTAACTCGTCCCTCCCTCTCTATTCTCAAATTTCCGTTTCATTTTATTTAATTGTAAGCTGTAACTCTAACCGTAACTGAAGAAAGATGAGTTATTGTTCTACTTATTTATGTGCAATTTAAATAGTATTCAAATCATGGGATTATAACTAGAGGTGGCAATTAGGATCCAAATCCATCCACTAGATTATCCACCTAATCCAATCCATTTGATCCAAATCTAATTTGATTGGTGGATTCATGGATCAATTCATGGATCCAAAAGACAAATTACACTTTTGGTACCTATAATTTTTATATTTTACATTTTGGTATCTAAAATTTATTTTTTTATACGGAAAATATCATTGGAAAATTACGTTTTGGTACCTAAAATTTGTCATTATGACATTTTAGTACCTAAACTTTTTGAATTGGTCCAAGCCTTGGATGTCATTTGGATTCATGGATCAATCCACCAATCCATTTGATTCATGGATCCACCAATCCAATCCACGAACCCACGAATCCGATCCAATTGCCACCTCTAATTAGAACCGTCAAACTGTCTTTTTTGTTTTTGTATTGTATCCTTAAAAAGGATAAACCAGATAACAGCGAGGCAGGACGGGATCCCCTACGACCTACGGGGTTGTGAAACTCATTTCCCGGCTCCTTGTCGTTCTCTATGACGTAAACCTTCATCTCACTTGAATATGAAGAACTCTAGTCTTGTATGGTCTTATTGATATTTGTTTCGAAACCTGTTTTCCAACGAGGAAAATTGGTGTTTGATTATGTGTAAACAAAACCTAATCGCTGAACTCGGAGATATGCATCGATTTGATGCATTATTCATGAATCATCTGAGTCATGATCAGATTCTTATGATTTATGCTTTAACCTAGAAGTGAGAATATCTAGATAGGTTAATAAAGTTTCATCAATTGGAAATAGAGGATCGATTACACGAGAGTGAATCGGTTTACTGCTTTGTATTGGATTTTGATCCAGTAGAGTGAACCTATTTTGCATCGCCTTGGTATTCTATCTCAGTCGAGCATAGTGTCCCTCTGAGCATTTTATCAAAAGAGTCTTGTCTGCTTTGGTCGATATTCAAGGCTAAATATGGCTTCTCCACGTTATAAACATTGGATGAAATGACTAGAGGATAAACATTCATCAATCTGGATAGAAACTAGGGAAATTCATATCTGAGTGATCTTTGTCCTATTGAACTTGAAACATTTTCTTACTACTTCCTTAGTTACTAATTTTATTTCAAACAAACCTGCTTTGCTGATTAGAGATCTGCACGGAGTAATAATACATTTACAGTCCCTGGATTGATAAATTAAACTTACTGTTATTATGTTGTTTTCTGGTCATTGATTACAATTGACCTTTGATTAGGTTGTAGTTATAGCGGACCAACCATTTCATATGCAAACATTACACGACCAATGCATCATGTACAAAGCTAGTGTTTGCTACAATATAATAGAGATAGTAGAGTGGTACATTTCTTAGAGACTAGTGTAGTAGCCGAGCGTTGGAAATCAAATCATGGGGCCGGGGCCCTTTGGATCAATGTGGGCCAGAAATGTTGGTCTGTGAGATCTGGCATCTGTTCAAGGCCCCCATACTTTCGTGTTTTAGATCTACCAAGAGTCCAAGACTCAATTTCCATATGCACTTCTCATGTTTTACTAACTGGCACCTCCATGCTCCAATAATTCAATAACACAGCCTCGCAGTTCAACTTCTTTACTGAAAAAGTTAAACCTGGTGCATTCCACTTCAACCATGGGAGGAATTCAGTTAGGAAAAATCAATAATGCAGATTACTACCTTATGCTAGCATCGCCTAAATTAGAGGTACACTTGGAACGACATAATCTCAAACCAGAAGCTGTGAGCTTGAACAGTTGAACAGTTGAACCCCATCATCATCCTAGCAGACATGCTAAGATAAAATTCGACAGAACTCTATGAAGAAACCAACATCAAGACCTAAGCCTAACGAACAAGCTTGATACGCAGAATCCTGAGAGTTGTGATGTTGTTGTTCTAATGCATTTACTACTACTAAGGACAATCGACAACTCCACAAGAGCTTCAGTCAGCATAAGGACTCTGCCATGTAGATATGTCGGTAACAAGTTCCCTTAACTGGTCTATCAGACGCTTGACATGTATGTTCTTTTCTGCAAGTTCCTACATTGTTACGGGGAAACAGAAGTGTTAGATGGAACAACAAAACAAACAGAAGAAGAAGACATCAAATGAAACCCTTGGTTGTTGAAGTTCAACTACTCCGGCTAACTGACTAATCCAACCCGTTCACGAATCACACCTCTGCTTGTCATGCAAGTAATTGGCAACACAATAGGGTTTTCCCACCAGCATTACAGATTCAGATCATCACTACCACCACTATAGCTCAACCTAAACACTTCATTACCCATTGGAAACGTGCATCGTAGTACCTTTCTAAGTTCCGAAAAAATGAAAAATGTCGTACCTTTCTAAGATTCGAGGCTCGCTCTTCTAGCTTGTCAATGTCAGCTTCTGGCGATAAGGAACCACTAGCAGGAGAACCTGTTTCGAATGGTTTTGCCTGTTTGGATATCACCATAACAACCATTCCAACCTCGATAATCAGAATACTGAAGAAAGTTAATCTAAACAGACTCAAGAATCAACAAAAAGAAGAAAAAACAAACTTAGTAGAATCAAACACAGCATGCCCATGGCTATGTAGGCATACTAAACAGAAAAAGTGGTGAGGTTCTCCCAGATAGGAATGGGATTGTGGGGTTCTAGTAGAACAATCTTGCAATGCTCTACTGCACAAATTTCTTGCATAGTTTTCAAGTCAGAACATGGAGCCTAGCTTGTGCACACCAAATACTGTTCAATTCATCATCCTGATGAGTAATGAGGATGGGGAAAATTTTGTTCAACTAATTTGGCACTGAATCAAAACATGCAGATTCGTGACAGCAGAATATATAAAACTAGGGTTTCTAAACGTCTTCCCCTTTTACCTTGTGAGAATTGGGAATTGCAGCGAGGACTTCGCGGAGAGCCGCGACGGAACTCTTGTACCGAAACCGAGCTTCATCCAATGCGCCATTATACGTACTCCCGCTGCCTCCACCGGGACCGATTCCGCCTCCATCGAGGTGAAGCGAAGTCTCGGAGGCGGAATCGCCGTTGAGAAGACCGCCGCCCGTTTGCGAGTGAGAGGAAGGGCCGTTACTCGCCGCTGAAGTCGCGGTAGCAACCGGAGGAGCGGAGGCGGAAGAGACACCGGGGGCCGACCACAAAGCCGGATTGCAGAGCTCGTCGTTCATGGAAGAGAGTATCTGGAAAGCGGCCTGAATGGTATCCTCGAGATGCCTCTGCCCTTCCATCGCTAGCTCCTGCGTCGATTTGGTGACCGACGGCGACGACATGGCCGTGTCCTCCATCTTCTTCTTCTGAGGCGTCCCCTGGCAACCCTAGCTTCCACCTCAGCAAGGACTCCACTTGTTCGAAATGGATCTGTGAAGTTTCCCGGAGAAGTGTGGCTGCTGATGGCTGTCAGCGCTAACCCCCCTCTTTGAAAGGTATTCCAATCGAACAGAAAAAAGGATCTCTCAGCTGAGATTTCTACTTCTCCGACCACCGACTTTTTCTTAATTTCTTGTAATCTCGTTCCTTTTCTTCTCAGGCAACGGCCTCCGAGGAAAAAACAAATGAACCAAAACGACGTTTGGCGCTGAACAAAACGCCCTGCAAGCCACGATGACGATGCTATTTTTCTTTCTTAGAGATATAAAATGAGAAAATATTTGAAAAATCTCTATCAAGAAACCCTACAAATGGCTAAATTACACGTTTGATCTCTCGAATTATATAAATCGTTCACGTTTGCCATCCGAATTATTTTTCTTTCTTATTCATTACTAACTTTACGAATCGTTTCACCGTTGGTCACCGACCGTTACACTCCGTTAAATATGTCCTGCGTGGCAGTCAACTATAAAGTTTAACCGTTAACTAGATGATATGGAAATTAAAAAATAAAAAACTAATTTGTTTGTCCACCTCATCATTCCACTTACTTTGTGTATATGATTTATCATATTACTTAGTTAATAAAAATTAATTAAATTATAAAAATAAAAAATATGATTTATTTATTCTCCACAACGACAAGTTGAGGTAGGGGAGGAATTCAAATCCTACCAAGAAGAAGAAGCTCCTCCTCTTCGGAGTCTTCAAATCTTCCTCCGCCTCCAATTTCGTCTGCGGGTGCGGCCTCTCCAACGTCCACGACCCTGCCTCCTCCATCACCTCGAGATTCACCGTCCCTCCCTCGCCCTCCTCCAGCATCAACATCCTCGCCTTCCTTCCCAAGCACCCCAATTCCCCCACCCTCGACAGAGACGGCGAAGAACAAGATACGCGGTGTGTCGATTACTCCTCTTCGACTACGAGCACCACAGCGACGGCGGCGGCTTCTTCGTCTTCCTGCTCCACCTCCTCCTCCTCATCCTCGTCTTATGAGAGTAGCGCTACTGCGGATCAAAGGAGATCGTCGGTGGAAAAATTTTCTATCTTTTTCTTCCTTTCAAAGTAAGGACATTAATTTAAATGAAGTATATCATGTTTCATGTGAGGTATTGTATAGTTTATGAAGGGATGCAGGGGAAAGTGTCACTTCTGTAACAGAGAACTTCATATAACGAGTTCGATCAATACATGTATGAGATGGTAATGTTAAAAAAATATTACAGAATTTGCACAAGCAATTCTCCGGATATCATATTGTTAGATTATCAAAGGTTTGTGAAAATACATGAACTTGTGTCGATTGATCGCCAAGAACTTGATACGGAATATGAAAGACGATCATAAACCGGACGATACCTCTGAAGCACGATCCAGGTGGTTTTGTGACCTTCCTCAACCAAGCCTCTTTAGTTCCTATACGGGAATCCTCTGATCTTCTGATGGGGAGAAGAAGAGAGTGTTTGGTCTTGGTATGTTGGGGACCACAACCTCTAAGTGGTTCCTTATATACTAGTCACGATGGGCTCCCATAAAACCCAAGGTGTACAAGTATTGGGTTTCCATCCATTTAGGTCCATATCAATGCAAGATGTCTTCGGGCACTTAATTGGATCACTTTTAATTAGCCCACATAACCAAATAGCTCATAATAATTGTAAAATATGTGGCCCATATCATTATAGGAAATAGAATTTCCTAACAGGTAAATATGCAACAGTCAAGACTCCAACGGGAACCAAAAGGAATGGCAGTAATACAAATTAGGCAAAGGGTTGGAAGAGCAACTGAAGCGATTCCCGGAGCTCAATTCCTCATGTTACCACACCGTCATCGTTCGGGCCTTCACTCCGGTGTGGAATGAAGTGGTGGTTGCCGCCGCCGACGTCGGCAGGTAGCACGACATCATTTGGTGGGACATCAATCATATTATTTATTTTTATAATTTAGTTAACTTTTATTAAATAAGTAATATGATAAATCATATACACAAAATATGTGGAATGATGAGGTGGGCAAATAAATTTATTTTTTATTTTTAAAATTTCCACGTCATCTAGTTAACGGTCAAACTTTATAGTTGACTACCACGTATGACATATTTAACGGAGAGTAACGGCCGATGACTAACGGTGAAACGATTCGTAAAGTTAGTGGTGAATAAGAAAGAAAAGTAATTACTAATTTGGGTGGCAAACGTGAAAGATTTGTATAATTCGAGTGACCAAACGTGTAATTTAGCCCCCTACAAATGCAATAATTTAGTGCCTCCACATTAAGTAGGCGGTGGGACGCCTCACACACATAATCTCGCATAAATAAAAAATTAACTAGCATTGCTTAAACTAATTGCATAAATTAAAATACCTACGACTAAGATATTACCCCCTTTATACTCACCTTATTTCCATCAAACCTGAATCTGATTCAGCTTTGTAATTCCCAAATCTTGCTCCTATAATATTCTCCTCGCTTCTATCCTATGATTCCGTGGGCGCAGATGGTTCCTCATTTGGACGCCAATTAATCGAGTTACGGCCCTCTATAAGTTTTCAAAGTACCATGTACTGAATTGGTAATTTCCCAGTCAACACGCTTGACCACGAACTTCTGGAAAATTACACTCATAATCTACCAACTTTTCAAATTGCCCAAAATGGTACCTGAATTGATGGTCTTTTGTTCCGAACTTCCGATGCTCATTTCTCCCTCGTCCGACGTCGAAAATCAATTTCGTCGACACGGTGATGATCCTGAGATTTACCTCATCGCAACCGTATCAACCTTTTGAAGTATGGTTGAAGTTGTTTTTCCTGATTTTTCCGGCGACACTCTGGTGAGGCTTTGGTGAAGCTCCGACGATCCTTCTGACGACCTTTAAACTGGACTTTGACTCCGTGGAATGATTTCTAACCTTCTCCCGAGGAAAACTCAGTCATCAGAATCCTTCCTTGCCCTCTCTTTCTATTAACTCACTTTATTCCTTCTCCTCTAGCGTGAAGCAAAAGAGGGGAGGATTGGGCGTTGCTCTCGGTTGTGTGAGGGAAATTATGGTGATGGCTTTGCGGGACTGCTTCTGGGACGCCGTACACGCAGCTTCTTTGAGCTTCTGCTCCTGCAGTGCTTTGGTCGCTCTGGGATGGAGCACCGATTGGTGTCGCCCTTCATCCCAGCTGTTGCTGGTCGTCGGCTGCGCGGGGAATGAGTGATGGAAGCGACGGTTTAGGGTGAGGGGAGAAGCTGGGATTCTCTTTTTTTTTCCTTCTTCCTTTCTATCCTCATTCAATTTACTCTGGGAATTAAAAGGATGGCTTCGCGTAACGGGGACAGAGGGAGGGGTTATGAGGGTTAGGTTTAATGTAATTGCCATTCGGGAGAAGGAGAGACTGAGGGAGAAGGGGCGCTCAAATTTTTTCTTTTTTTGCACAGATGGAACGAGTTCGTTGTGCTCGACAAAATGAGATCAATTTTCAATATATTTCGAGATTTTTTTTTCATACCTCCCGTTACCAACTACATATCATATGTTAACTTCTTCGTTTTTGAAAACGTTTGCTCAGAAGGAACGAGTTCATCATGATCTATTTGATCTACAAATTTCTGGTGAAAAAAATACAGGATCAAAAGTTATCATACTTCACCACCATGATCACCACACCAATACACTCAATGATATCCTCCAATAATATATAGTAGAGTTTTGCCTACTTTTCTCTATTTCAAATTTCTTGCAATGAGAGTGAAAGTAGGAAGGACATTTTTGTCTTTACAATTAATTATTTATTCTGTATAAAAATGTCAATGTCAAGATTTGAACACGGGTTTCTTCAAACAAAGACAACGTTCACAACCAATTACAATAAAGAATTTGTTGTATCTTTTTAATATAAACCATACACAAAGTGACACTCTCAAAATTGAGCAAGCCCACTAAGTCTACCGTATTTATTTTTATGGTGCTTGATACTGAAATTTTCATAGTAGAGTTTCATTTAGTTTTCTAAATTCTTAAATGACTGCTCCCTCCTTAATTTTTTTGCTAAAGGTAAATTGGTAATTGGCCACATGGAAGAAACTAATTCTATTACTACGTGTTGTGTCCTTGCATTTTTCATTTAAATTTAAATTTAGTCATTTTTTATCTTTGTTCTTGCCTCTTTCTAACTTCCTCCGATTTCCTCCATCGTGCAGTAGTTTGCGACCCTTTCACTTCACAGTACAAGGCCGGCTTTGAAAATCAATCTTCCGCTATCTCTTTGCACTACGATTTTATTGTTGGGGATTTAAACTGGGCAAGTAGAAGATTTCAACTCCAATATCAATACATAGCGAATAGAATGGAGTTCAATAAATGGAGTTGCAAAAGGATTTTGAAATTGAATTTTTGGTTGAAACATACGTCGCCTCTTGAGATCGAAGATAGAGTGGATAAAATTCTGATTGTATAACGGAGCGTGGAGGCTATTGGATCTTTAGGTTTATGACTTTTGCACCTATCGCAACGTATTTCTATCTTAAAACGAGGAATCATTGATTGATTTACTGAAGTAGGTCGGTCGATTCTATATTCAACCTACTGGGACTGATAGAGAAGGAGTGTTTAATTTTGTTTCTTTTGACTTTGATCGAGTCTATTAGAATATTGGAGGTAACCCTAATGTTGGCATTTGCTCTAAAGTTTTGATAGTCCCCTCTTAGCTGAATTGTTAGTATATAGTTGATTTGAATCAACATTTCTCTATTTCTTTGTGATTAGTGGCATATTGTGACTAAAAGGAGAGCATTTAACAATTCTGTAGGATTGCGAGGTTTAAGATTTAGTTTATCTATGGTTCGTGTGGTAATTTCAATGAGCTTT